AATGTTACACAGAGTTTTATCTTCTGCGAAGCAATAGTTGTTAGTTAGCAATAGTTAAAATATGGAATTTTCTACCTGATCAAATAGTTAGTTTATTTTTATTTTTAGTTTTTAAATCAAATTTAAAAACGCGCAATAATTAGAAAGTGTTCTGTATTAATTTGTCTACTATGGTGTTGCATAAGAGTAATTTCCATATTAGTTGTGCCCCCCTTTTTCTTTCTTTTTTTTTTTTCTAATGCAAATAAATTTAAATAATACTAATAAAAATATTTAAAAGGTATTTTAAGAAACTTATTTCTCTGCATTGTTTACTTTAACTTATAAAAATCTTTTAACCTCCAACTATTACAGTTTCTATCTTCTTCAATTTTTAATGTGATGTTTAAATTCTGCTAAAACCATTATTTCTTGTGATACAAAAAAATTCAATGAAATACAATGCTAACTAACTTTCATAACAATTATATTAATACAATGCTTATCACTAACTTTCATAACAATTATATTAATACAATGCTTATCACTAACTTTCATAACAGTTTGCTTTCAAAACTATATGATATTTATTCAATACAGTTGCTATGGTATGGTTAGATAAAAAGATAATTTTGATGAAATCATTTTTAAAAGATGATACAATATAAAAAAAAAAAAGATTTTTTTTTTCGTACTAATTCTTACCTGCTGAAACAATTTTTAGGCCGAGAACCAAGAGGTCGTATGTCCATTTTTTGTGTTTCCGAGTAAATCAAGTTTTAAAATTTAATTTGTAAAGGCTTTCTGCGAGAATGTCCGACGAATTTTTTAAGTATTTTTAAAAGTTGTATCATTCTTGAGACTAGATTTATTAGATACATACTCCATTGAATGTTTAATCTTTATTGATAATAATAATAAAAAAATACAAAATGTGGCCTCTTTGTTCTCGGCTGACGAATTATATTAAAATCTGTATAATTTTAATAGATAATTTTTACTTTTAAAATGATTTTTATTTTTATTTTTAAATATTTATCAAACATTGTTAATACTCAGTGGAAGGTTTTAGAGCGGGGCTACTACCCATGAGGTAGTAGCCCCCCCCCCAACCTTAGGACTTTTTTTCAAAAATATTCTTTTGTAAATTGACTATTATACAGAATTGGACTACTATACTGACGAATAAAATTGACTATTAATTGTATTTATACGTATATGAACTTGATTATTATACTAAAGTTCAAAAAATTAAAAAAGAAAGTTGTATGTAAATGAAATGATGCGGATTTTTTATTTTTTCTGACCTTTTTTGCCTCCTCCATGGCGAGTGACAAAACCCGCAAAATGTACTTTGAAGATTCCGTGTTTGGTTGAAGTTGAGAGACGTGAAAGTTAACTTTAATCAATTTTACTCATGATTTTATATTGTTCGATAAGGTCTCCTCTTTCTCGTTGTTCAGTTAGTGTTGTCAGGGTAAGGCTTGATAGTTTTTGAGTATATGAAAGGTGTTTTAGAGAGGCAATGTTTTGTGACTTTTGTTGAACTTGCTCGAGTTTGGCTAAAAACGGTGACGGGCAGTACTGCAAATTCTAGGTGTGGGCGAACGTACGAAAGATACAGAGTACGCCATATGGCAGAACTTCGACCTCGAAAAACCTTCTTGAGCCTGTCAAGCATACGGTTGCCAACTGATGCAACCGCACAGACTTGTTTTTTAACTTTCAGATCGCTAGCCATAAAAACGCCTAGATCTCGTTTAGATGACGTGCATGATAGCTGAGGCAGTTGGCCGTCCAGGTTATTCATTGTATAAATTGTAATTGATTCTTTTTTGTTGCTGCACCCAATGTGCATGAATTTGCGCTTGTCGACATTAAATAACATGAGCCATGTGTGCAACCATTTTACTGCTTCGTTAATATCAGCTTGGAGTTTTATGATTTCATGGTTTGATTCTATGATTCCGATTATTTTACAATCATCGGCATACATTTTAAAGTGGTGTTGTATCTTGTCTGGCAAATCGTTAATGTAGATAAGGAACATGAGTTGTCCAAGAACAGATTCTTTTGGCACACCGCTAGAGACTGTTTTCCAATTGGATTTATTGTTACCAATGGTTACGCGTTGTAGCCGGTCGGTTAGCCAACTCTTGATCCAATCGTGCAAGTTATCGGAAACTCCATATGATTTCAACTTGTGCAGCAGACGACGGTGCAGAACTTTGTCAAATGCTTTAGCAACGTCTATGAATATGATATCGGTTAGGTAACATTTGCGGGCAGCTTCAGTCAGCGTGTCGCAAATTTCGAGTAGGTTTGTGACGTAACCTTTTCTTTTTCGGAACCCATATTGAGCAGAGCTAATGAGTTTATTTTTGTTTAAGTGGTCAGTAATGTATTTGTGTAAAAAGCTTTCCATTACCTTGCAAGGAACAGAAGTGCGTGAGATAGGTCGATAGTTTGAGGGGTTCGACTTGCAACCTTTTTGAAGGTAGGAGTAATTTCGGTTTTTTCCATTAGGACGGTACTTCTCCAGCTTCAAGCGACTTAGAGAAGATAGTACTCAGTGGGATAGCAAAACCTGCAGCACATTATTTTAGGACACGTGGGTGGTTCGGTTCCGAAAGTTTTTCTTTGACGGATTCGTATGATGCGAGTGTGGTCGATTGGTTTGTGCTAGTGAAACGATTGTTGAATTTTGGTATAAATCCAATGGCAATTCAATTTCGAAAACTGATTGGAAATATTCTTACTTTAGGATCTGTTGTAGTTTGATTATTAGTTGACGAATGCGGTCGTGTGTTTCTTGTTTTCTTTTGACGTACGAGTGGATTATTTTTGGTTCAGTCGAATGTTTCGATATGCGTAAAGATTAAATTGTAGTCGGCTTCGCTCCAGATGAGATGCTTCTTGTAGAGGTTAAAGGAATCATTTATTTTGGATTCTTTAGTTTTTAGGTCGATGAGAGCTATACTTTCCTCAATAAGACAGTGTGCCTGACCTTTGGCTGTGTGGCCGAGAAGACTAGCTTCTTTTATGTCTATTATTCGGTCTGATTTGTTGGTCAGGATCAAGTCGAAAGTATTTTTTGGAGGTTCCTCACAAGTACTATGATATGTTGGATAAGTTATAAGCTGGGTCAAATGATTTTCTTCGAGAAAGTCTTGAAATTTGCTATCTGTTCATCAACCATTTTGTACGTATGCAACGGTCGCGTTGCCACTTTCTACGTCGACATTTGAATACACAGTGTTGCTGAAGTTGAAGTCGTCGTACGCTAGTAAGGTTTAGCAGCCAATTGAGTTGTATTTGTCAGAGGAAGTACTTATTGAGCTTATCATTTCATCGAGCGTTAAGTTGTTAAGGTCGTGAGGGCGGCAGAGACAGCCTATTAGAATTGATTCGTCGTGAAATTTTAATTTGATCCAGACTTGCTCAATAGTAATGCGGTTGAGTTGGCCAATTTTGTTGATAGAACATCCGAGGTTTTCCTTTGTGTAGATGGGCACTCCTCCTCCTCTTCCGGTTCTATTTTTTTAAACAGTTGGTACCCAGCTATTTTTGTATCGGAGTTGTCGGTGAACCAAGTTTCGACAATCAAAATTATGTGCGGTTGAAGTGAAGTATCTACTGAGGTAATTTTGGTTCTTAGTTCGTCAATTTTATGGCCATTAAGTGAGCAAGGGTTATTGGCCCAGTAGATGAGCTTCTCTGTTTTTTTTTGCTTTTGGTTGTGTTGGTTGTTGTAATTTTGGTTTTTCGGCTTATCGGATGAGATTTTTGGCTTATTAAAATCGCCTGTTGTCTATTGTGGTTGTTTGATGTTGAGTTCGTCAGCCATTTATTAATTGTTGAGTTGGGTATAGGAGTGTACTGGGTATTGAAAGATGATTTGCAGTTGAGTGCTAGGTTGTTTACTGGTGTGGTCAGCTAGAGACATTGGTTGATACACTAACTATGATGTTCAAAAAATTTTGTTTGAGTGATCAGGTGGTTGTTTGGTTGAGCGAGATATAGTTGCAGTAAAAGTAAAAGACGCATCTAATTTTGTTCAGTTGATAATTAGTAAAAGAGGACTTAAATTTAATAACGCTTATAGGAAGATTTATAATGATGTGAGAATTCTAGAGGAGGATTCATGACAATGTATTTTAGTGTCATTTATATCAATGAGAGACATGTGCTTTTAAAAATCAGTACCTAGATACTAGTGTTCAAAAAGTTCAATTTTTGGCAATTGTGGTAAACATTTCAGAAAGTTAGTTTCAGTGACTCATTATTGAACTTCTAAACATCTTTATTGACTTCTATCAACTCCTATCGATTTTAATATATATATATATATATATATATATATATATATATATATATATATATATATATATATATATATATATATATATATATATATATATATATATATATATATATATATATATATATATATATATATATATATATATATATATATATATATATAATAAATTTTTTGCTGTACACAAACAATGTGTGAGTCTAACATCTGCAGATGTTAAAACTTTGAAAGCCGTAACAAAAGTGTTTTTTTTTTTTCTTTTTATATTTTATATTTTTATTTTGTTTGTTTTATATTTTTATTTTGTTTTTTTCGAAACGAGCAAACTTGTTTTTGAAGATGTTCACATTTTCAGAATTAATTATCTCCACTATTAAATTATTCCAATTGTTAACTATTCTGTTTGTAAGGAACTTAAATATTGTGGTAGAATGTGTGAGTTGTTTTTGTATTTTTTGAGTATGACTCTTGTTATTGCATATTTAAATAGTTTAGGAGGATGATTCCATTTAACTTTATCCATATTTTTACTTATTTTATAAAATTGAATCAAATCGCCTCTTTCTCTTCTTGTTTTTAAAGTAGTCAAGTTAAATTTTTTCAGTCTATCTTCATAGCAAAAACTTCTCAAACTATTTATTCGTCTAGCCCTACGTTGTATTTTTTCAATTTTATCAATATCATTTTGGTAGTAAGGGTTTCATACCGGCACCGCAAACTCCAGGTGTGGACGAACCAATGACGTGTCCAAATGTTTCATTGAAATTTTATCTAATCGCAAAAAAGATTTATTTATCTGACCGAGCTTTCTATTAGCTTTTGCCGCAATTGTGTTAATATGCTTTTCCCATTTGACGTCGTTTGATATCATTACAACAAGATCACTCTCTAACGTGGTTTCTTCCATAACTAAAGCATTTTGCTGAATCATATCGAATGTACTACACAGTAATTATATTTTAAATTTCTTAAACTAGTAATTATATTTTAAATTTTTTTTGCCGATATGCATAATTTTACATTTTTCTTTATTGAAGTTGATTTGCCATTTTTCACTCCATTCAAACAACTTACATAAGTCTTGTTGTAACGTTCGACTATCTTCGACTGTATTAATGACTGAAATAATTTTTGTATCATCTGCATATATTTTGCAATGATTAGTTATCTCACTTGTTAAATCATTTATATATATGGCAAATAAATGGGGTCCAATAACTGATCCTTGTGGTACTCCACTTATTACTTTTTTCCACTCAGAGGTTATCTCACCGAGAACCACTTTTTGTGTTCGTCTGCCAAGAAAACTTTAAACCTACATAATAATTGTTCTTGGATCCCATAAGATTGTAGTTTTAATAATAGTCTCTTATGTGCAACAGAGTCAAAGGCTTTGGCAAAGTCTAAAAATCTTATATCTACTGATAAATTTTCCTCAAGTGCCTGAATTATTATATCAAACGTTTCAAGTAAATTTATGCAACAACTTTTGGATGATGAAAAACCATGCTGAGAGTCAGAGAGTATGCTATTTTTAGTCAGATGATTCATTAGTGTGTCTCTTATTATGCTTTCCATCACTTTGCACACTATTGATGTGAGTGATAGCGGCCTACAATTTGTTACTTTTAGTTTATCTCTTTTTTTAAACAGAGGGGCAATATTTGCACATAACCATAAACATGGAACAATGCCACTCGAAAATGAGCGATCACATATAATTGATAGTGGTTTTGAAATACTTTTGCAACATTCTTTTAAAACTCTAGGGTGTATTGTGTCTACTCCAGTTGATTTATAAACATTCAGAGTTGCAAGTTTCTTACTAACTGTTTCAATTTCGAATGTAGGATTTGGGCATAAAACATCGCACTGTTTTGGAAACTCTGGGAGGTTTTTATCTTCAATAGTAAAAACTGAGCTGAAAAAATTGTTTAGTTCGTTAGCAATCTCAGAAAGGTTGGTAGTAACTATTCCATTGTTATTCTCAATTGTTCGAATATAATCTTTAATTTGAGTTTTATTATTCATATATTGGTAAACTATTTTGGGATGCTTCTTTTTCTGAATGGCTTCTTTTTTCGCTATTAGTGCTCATATTTAACAATTTCATTTTTAATTCTTTTTCGTTGTGTTTTTTATATTTTTATATTTCGCCTCAAGTTCTTGATCTCTCAATTTTGCATTTCTACATTTTATCCATAAAACTTTTCTTGCCTTAATCATTTCCGATAGACTTTTATTAAACCAAGGTACTCTTTTCTTTTTATTTGATTTAGTTAACGGTATATTTAGATTACAAATTTTTTTATAATGTTCTAACCATTTTTCGTAATAATCATTAGCGTTCTAATTTTCGAATACCCTTGACCAGTCAGTACTATCAAAGTGTTTATTAATTTCATCATAGTTTTCTCTATTATAGATGTAGTTTTTTTGTTAAACTCTGCTAATATTTCTTCAGATGAACTTTTATGTTAATACGTGATGACCATGTTTAATCGATCCTAACGGTGGGTGATGTTCTAGCTTATATATTATTTTCAAATTATTTTCGGTTATTACTAAATCTAAGACATTAGTTTTAGTTTTATCATCCAAATGAAACGTTGGCTTGTTTATATTTTGAAATAAATAACATTCGTCTAAGCAGTCTATAAACATACTAGCAATTTCATTTGGTTCTTGCAGATGGGCAAAAAGTTCCTCACTCTAATTTATTTTTGCTAAGTTAAAATAATAATAACTATAAACGGGGCATGTATGTCACTGTTCAATCTTAACTTTAATTTAACACTTTGAATGCTTACTTTAACTTGTAATTTGTTAATAACTTTTTGAATAGACTTTTTGTCGCCTACTTTTGCTTTGCTTTTGTCTTCATTGTCTGAAGCTTTTACTCCAAATATTACAATGATTTATTTTGGGTAGAAGTTGTATCAGAAAATAATAAACTATTAAATAACTTTTAAAGAATTTCATTAAAATTATAGTACTTATATATGTAATCTAATTACAAAAAAAAGGTTTTTCCCTGCACACACTCACTCCACCTTTTTCCTGCACACACTCACTCCACCTTTTTAAGGACAGGGTGCTTATAAAAAGCAATTTATTTGATAACTCCTGAAAGATGACATTTTTTAAAAAATTTCTAAACGTTTACAAATATTTAGTAGGTATCATCTTAGGGTGTAAAAAAAAATTTAGAGTGGGACGACATAAAACCTGACTGTCAGTTTAGCACACTATGTCCAATTTTGAGGAATACCCAGAGCAAAAAATAAACATTAGTACTTACAAAATTAAAAATCTTTTTATTAAAAGCTAAAAATATACGGGAGAGTGGGGTTTTGGTGAACAGCTAAGCGGGAACGCGTATTAAAGACACCAGTTATACGAAATTGATCATATTTATTGCTTATCAATTAGTCTAACTATTCAATCATAAACCCTCAAAAGCAATTTTTATAATTCTTAGTATAAAATAAAAATTTAGGGTGAAAAAAAACCATTGGTGTTTGGAATCACCCTACGCACATGGAGCTTTTCCGAAGACACCGTTAGGAAATCACAAACACTATTGTGTGATAACAAATAGAATGCTAATTGTAATATTCAAGTGCAAAAATCATACTATGCAACAATGACAACAAAAAGAGTGGTTTTATATCCATAGTAGCTAAAACAGGAATGTTACTTAAAAAAAATGTTGCATAATGTTATTAGAAAAAAGTAAGAATCAAATTATCATGAACAACAACTACAGCTTCATTACACTACTGCGGATTATACATTAAGCAAACAGCTTTATATTTTCTTGTAATTCAAAGAAAAAGCTTACGGAAGGTGTGAATTTCAAATTCCATCACGTCATTGGTAATACCGAAACTTTGTTTCTGCGTATACTAGTCTTTCTTTTTAATGTTCAGGACCGACGACGCTGGAGGTGGTAACACGTGCCCCCTCCCCACTTTTTTTCTAAAGGACCTATTTTTTTTTTAGAAAATTATAGATATAGAGGAAACTTTTTAGAAATTGAAAATTGTACTCCTCCACTCGTTCATTTTCAGTATTTAAAAAGAGATTAAGAGTATTTAAGAAAGGCTGTAACAACATTTAAATATTAAAAAAATGTTACCGTCAATAAATGTTGTGTCCCCTCGGTCTTCGAAATGTAAACCTAAAAAAAAAATAGTCTTGTGTCAAAATTAAATCTTTGCAAAGATGTAATTTTAACACGTGGCTTATTTTTAGGCTTATCGACTGTCTATCGACTAAAGATGTAATTTTAACACGTGGCTTATTTTTAGGTTTATCGACTAAAGATTTAATTTTAACACGTGGCTTATTTTTAGGTTTATCGACTGTCTATCGGCTAAAGATGTAATTTTAACACGTGAACTGTTTTTAGGTTTATCTGTTATCGACTATCAAAACTCGTAAACTTCAAAAACATCTAAACAAAATAAAAGATTGCATTGCATTGCGCTTTGCAAAGCTTTTGCGAAGAATTTCGAGAATTAAAAGAAAATCTAAATTTTGTTAAATTTTTGTTTTCAATTTCAAGTTAAAAAAATTTTTACGTACATTATTCTATAATGTTTGTATTTTATTGTTAGTTTATTGTTAAGTTATAAACTCATTATTATGTAATAAACTTTATTACGATGTTTAACTTGAATAACAATAACTAACTTTCTATATAAGTATATATGTTTATTTTTAAATCTTTCTCCTAGCCTGTGTTTTTCATTGAGGCAAAAAGTTAAGTATTTGCGTTAATACTTATTTTCTCAAAATAGCTAAGGATTACAGGCAATACTATGCACTCATCCAGCCGATTTCCGACTTCGACGTGTGGCAAGCCATTGTATTATTCAAAACTCAAGTGTAATAAATTTTGCTACGGTAACAGTGTTCATAACAAAATTGATATTTATTTATAATAGTTATTGACAATATTTTAAAAAACTTTTCAAAATTTATTGAAATTTTTTTAAAATTTATTATTAATAATACTGTGGTAAAATTTACTACTTGGGTTTACAAAGGAAAAAAAAGCTTACAATTGTTTAAATAACAATAAAAAATAATTTAATTTAAATAACAATAAAAAATAAAAGATTTTATTTTTAATTATCAACATTTACCGTTGTTATTATTAAATATCGATAATATAGCAATTGTTATTTTATTAAGTATTTTATTAAGTAGCCTTATTTTAATAAGTATCGGTTATATTAAAATTGTTATTTACCGTTGTTATTATTAGCTATCGGTAATAATACTATTAAAATTTTTTCCGAAAAAACTGTTATAGTTTAAAATATTTCAAATAATTTAATAAAATAAAATAAGAAAGCTGGGCATATAATTTGTTCATTTAATTCGACTACCTTCAGCATTACAAGACATCATCCTATTGATTTCAAAGACTGTACTTTTAGTACTATGTATTTTGAAATCAATAAAGTAATTATAAAAAAGAATTCTTTTATAAGTTATGGGAAGCAAAGATAAACATACCTTTTCATTGCTATTAAAATGATCAGAACAATTTACTTGCTTCAAACAACAGCAAATTTTGTTGTCATTAAATTTTAAAAGTTAAAATCCAGAGAGTAATAACAATTTACTTAAAGAAACAAAATATTTTTATGGATTTTGTTGATTTAGCGTTGCATCAACTTAAATACACCGTTGGATAGTTGCTTGTTTTTATAAACGATGTATTCGATTATTATTATGCTTGCATGGTGTACTTTTACAGCAGCCGTTCCTAATAAAAGAGGTATTTTTAATTATTATTTGTTGACTACTTTTTATCCTGATTTCTTGAAACCAATTTATCCAGTTTTTTTTTGTAGAATTGCAATTGTCTATTGAAAACGTGTTTGTTAAAAACTTTATTAAGATCGACAAAAGTATTAAATTGCATTTATTTTTTAATTGCACTTTAATTTTACTTTCTTTTACCGAATATCTAAATCGCGCCATAAAAAAAAAAATTTTTAAATCGCGCCAGCGATATTTACGCGTAGCTAATTAGACGAATTAATTTATTGAAATAGAGAGATGTACACAGTAACAATATTTTCTGAGATAGTAAGATTTAAGATTTTTTATTAGTTTTTAAATAGTTTTTAACCGTTTTAAATTTTTTAAAAGTTTTAAAATTTTCGAAAGTTTTTTTTAAAAATTTGAATTTCTACAAACATTTTATTCTGTTATTTAGAACTAATAAAGTATCAAAACTTTATCGTATATAAAAACATAAATTAACTTCATGTATAAACACTTTTTTAACGTTCTATTAACGTTCTATTAACGCTCTATTGAAGCTCGATTAAAACTCGAAACATTAGAGCAACATTGAATGTTGCTTTGACGTAAAACTTAAAATTTTTGAGCAACGTTTAAATGCTTAGAAACATGTCATTAGAACTCATTATGTCATTAGAACTCATAATGTCATTAGAACTCATTATGTCATTAGAACTCATGTCATTAGAACTCATTATGTCATTAGAACTCAATTAGGAGAGAGTTAAAATAGTTTTTCTTATTAAATTACTAATGAAAAATTAAAAAAACGAAACGCTCTACATTAGTTCAATTAAACAAAACTTTACACAAAAGCTATATGTCACCAGGAATTAAGTGTAGAATAATTTCTCATCTTAATGAGAATCTATTTTACTCTTACTACCATCTAAGGAAGAAAAGATTCTCATCTTGGTGTAAATCTATGTATACACAATGCATGGCACCTACCATGTTGTGATTTATAAAGATTTTTCAAGCACATTTAGTTATATTGTACTTTTCGATTAGAAGTGTACACTTTTCGATTAGAAAATATCGATTAGAAGTGGTGGAACAAAATGATTGTCTTTTGCAGTGGGCACGCGTCGTCCGGGGGATGTCCGACAAACTTCCTCCTAACGACGCATGCCCACTGGGATAAAATCGTTAAGGTTGAATATATGTATATATATATATATATATATATATATATATATATATATATATATATATATATATATATATATATATATATATATATATATATATATATATATATATATATATATATATATATATATATATATATATATATATATATATTCACACACACATATATATATATATATATATATATATATATATATATTATATATATATATACATATATATATATATATATATATATATATATATATATATATATATATATATATATATATATATATATATATATATATATATATATATATATATATATATATATATATATATATATATATATATATATATATATATATATATATATATATATATATATATATATATATATATATATATATATATATATATATATATATATATATATATATATATATATATATATATATATATATATATATATATATATATATATGAGGCATGCTAGGCCGGCTTACTGTTTAATTTATTTATGTTTAATATTTACCTACAAAAATAAAACTTTTTAAAAATGATTAATTTTATGTAAATACTTTACGTATTTTTTATGTAAATATTTTAGGTAAATATTAACATTTATTAATAATGTTTACTTGACAAACGGGCCCGGATAACTGATCTCGCCAAATTTCAGGGTAATCCCACGCAGGTAAGGCAATTTTTTTCATATAAAAACGAACAAGTGATCCTATTCTGCTAATGAATGTAACTTATTGGAAAAAATAAATCATGCTATTACTTTTATCTCATCAAAGACATTCTCAATCGTTTTTAAAACAACCAATTAAATAAAAGTTTGCTAAAATTTTATGCTTTTATTTTTTTAGTCAGCCTGTTAACCGGGCCAATCCCTATTTATATAAACATTTATTTAAACAGGCTCTTATTGCAGTTATTTTGATGCTCCTTTTTAAAACTATTTTGTATGATAAAAGCAAAAAACTTTTTATTTATAAATCTTTCAGGTGTTAATTGGTAATAACCTTAAAAAAAAGATATTTTAACTTTTTTTAGATTATAACTTCAAACCACGTTTCTTGAAAGATCGTATAAGTATTAGTGAACCTGAGAACACTAGTCCAGAAAAAGTTATAAAAGACATAAGTGAAATTGTAATTGACGACGAAGGTGATAAATTAACTTACGCACTTGATAATAAAGGAAAAAGCATATGCACAATTGGCAGTAGTGATGGTAAACTTAGGTTTAAAGAAAAACCTGATAGAGAAGTTAGTACATTTGAATTTAGTAACTTAAAGATTTTTTTCTTTATTTTATTCATTTTTTACTATTATTTTCTTAACCATTCTTATCACATTATTCATTCTTAACTACATTATGTAAGTATTATACATAAGTACGAGAAGGGGTATATAAGTATGAGAAGACATTTTTACTTTTACGTTGTCGCTAGCGCAGTGGTAACAAAGGTACCTTTGTTACAATTCTAATTTTAATTCTCCTTTTTTTTTTTTACATAAATGTACACACATACGAGTACCCAGAATCCCAAGACAAAAATGTAAAAATTTTATAATATATCTTTAAGATATAATATCTTTAAGATTTTAGTCTTTCTGTGAATGATTTTAATCTTAAAAATACACGTATATGTAAGTTATACTTTACATATAAGTGTTTTCTTTAGTAAACAATATGTGTACATAATATGCACAACAGATACAATATGTGGACATAATGCACACAACAGATGAGTGAAAGGCATCAAAGACAAAATGCAATAAAATGATTTGCTCATCTAAAAAACTGCAACAATAAATGTGAATCATTATTACCATGTAAAAAGTTTATTTAATATTATGGGAAACTTTTTTGAAGTCGCCCTGAAGTTGCTACCAATTCTAGACTTATATTTTTCGTGTTTTACGATACGCAAAAGATAATATAGACTTTTTAAAACAGGTTTTTACTATTTTATAATCTAATGAAATATTAATTGAAAAAGTGCTTTATAAGCAGAAGAGATCATTAAAGGATTTTAATTGAGTTTTGCGCTTAGCTCTTTTACCTAAAAAGCGTGATGACGGTTATGTTACGCACATTAAAGTAAAACACATTTTTCTACAGTGTCTTTGTTGATATCAATTCACCTAGTAATTGTTTTTATTTTTTTAAACTGAATTATAAGTTTTTATTATAGTTAAACTGAACTAATAACGTTTTTAAAATAATGTTTTCAAAATTAATCTCAATTTTAAATGTTGATATTGCAAAAATGAAAGCATCAAAACACTATTTTATTAAGCACTATTGAATTTTGTCATAATTGATTTGACAATTAAAACAAATCAAAAGTTTTATGTTGAAAAATATTTGTAAATTTTAATTTTAGATTTGTTCTGAGTATGAATTCAAGATTTTAGTATCTGATGATTTTGAAGGTGGCATCAATAGAGAAACACCTCTAGACGTTTATCTTTACATTTTAGACGAAAATGATAACAAACCTATATTTATCAACACCCCTTATATTTGTCATGTTTTGGAGGTATAAGTAATTAAATTATGACAATATTGTCTAGTGTTGTATTTAACGTTAAGCAACCTTATGAAACCAATCGCATTGCAGCAATACCTAATTTTTTTTAATATAATTTTCTTTTTTTAATTATATAAGTTTTATTTGATTTTATGTTGCATTAACTTTTTTTTCGCATTTTATTGAATTAATTAACTTTTCACTGACTTTTTCGCTGAGTAAATTTTTTTATTGACTTAACAAGTTGATTATTATTAACTTTTTTTTTTTAAGACAATACCAATTGGCACGGAAATATTCCAAGTACTTGCTTCCGACAAAGACGCTGGAAATAATAGAATACTTCGTTATGTTTTTAAAGATAAATCAAATGACTACTTTTTCCTACACCCAAACAGTGGAATTATAACTTTGACTAAATCACTTGATCATGAAACTAACAAAGTTCATACTCTAATTGTTGAGGCACAGGTCAACATTTTAATCTGAAAAAATATTTTTGATTTAACATAAATAGATTTTCAAAAACTAATCTGTGAAAGTAATATCTTTTAACAAACTGTTGGTCATTGATACTATTTCCGTTTTGATAAAATATTTTTCATAGTTGACAATTATAGATAGATTAATTGTATAATTCTGCAATTATTATTTTTTTATTGTTTTTTTATATAAAATTCTGTATCATAGAGGGATTTTATTTTTTCATTCCTTTATACATAAACATATGAATTGTTTAACATTATTAGTAGTGTATAATAGATAAAAATTTTCTCATGAAATAAAGTAAATAACATTTTTGAATATTCATTTAGGTGCTTATATTTTTATAGGGTGTTTAACACATCTGATGTTAATGAAGGGTGTTTGGGAAACCTAATGCATTTTATGTAAAAAGATATAGTTAAAAAAAAAGTTAAAAAATAGTTTAATTTTTATTATGTAAATACTTCTTTTCAATAGGACGAAGGTTTAGAAAAACAAACGACTGAAACAACAGTAATTGTAAATGTCGGAGATGTCGGAGATAACAAACCTTATTTTATATTACAGCAATATGATAAAGAAATTGAAGAAAATTTACCAAAAGGTACAAAAGTCGCTGCTCTTGTCGCAGTTGATGGTGATTCATCGTTAAAAAACAAAATTAACTACGAGATTATTGCAGGTAAATAATTGTTTTGGATAGTTTATATAAATTAGTAAACAAAGCTAAAATATAAATGTGATTTTAAACGAGTAAAAAAAATTGTTTGATAACTTTGAACCAATAAAAACAAATATTAACCAATTGACACATTATAATTATCTGCGTATTAATTTCAATTTGTGCGATTATATATATATAAAAATGATAATCCGGCTAGACAATCTTCTATAATAATGTTTAATGTCAGTGGAGTGTGTGCATGTAAGGAGAGATAAAAGTAACAATAAAGTAGATGTATTACCACAGTAAAACCTCACCTAACAAAAATGTTTTAAATTTTTTTAATAGGCAAAATGCTTTGTTATAAAATAATTTAATAAACAATTATCGTTCATCCTGAAACTATGCAGAGGTAAAATATTATTCAGAGAAAACTCTTTTTTATTCAGAGTTGTTCTTAAATTCAGAGTTGTTCTTAAAGATTTTTGTTCAATTCACACATATATATATATATATATATATATATATATATATATATATATATATATATATATATATATATATATATATATATATATATATATATATATATATATATATATAATATATATCAATGCCAAAGAACACATTGCGTATATAGCTTACATATTAGCTTATTTTAACATAAACCTCTCAACAAGGTCTAAAAAAAGAAGATCTTAAGAGATTACTGAAAATTTAGGTGTTACCACTTTTTCATGCCCTTATTTTAAATCTCAATAAAGAAAGATTGCCAAAGTTATTTAACATTTGATGGAAAGTAAAATTGATAAATCCTGCAATATAACATGCTCTAAAAGCAGAAGAAGCTTTAATGTTAGACTGTAGAATGAGTAGAACTAACTATCCGTCGAGGGGCCTTTAATCAAGGTTGTATGTTATACCTTGCCTACAATTTTATTGTGAAAGCTAAAAGTGATTGCATTCCAGATTCCGGAATTGCAAACACTCTTGAAAAGAAAAAAACAGTTGCAAGTTGAAAAAAAGAAATTCAGGAAAAAATTAAAGATACACTCGGACTTATTATTAATGTACCAAAAAGTAGTGGCTCTAGTACATCTAATGATGGAAACACAGCGATAAGGGCATTTAGAAACAATGAAACTTTTGCTGAAATACTTGGAATTGATATGGATCTTGTTAAAAGATTTTTCATTATTCTTTGTTTATATTGCAAAGATAAATTAAGGCATATGTAGCACATTTTCTAAAAATAGTTATGTTAAAATAAGCTAATATGCAAGCTAGTACGCTATGTGTTCATGGTGTTCTGTACATGTATGATATTAATTTGTTTAACAAAAATTTTTTTTTTTTTTTTTTTTTTCTTTTAATTTACCTCCTCAAGGCCGAGAAGGCCACTACAGACGAGGAGGCTACTTATTTGTGGGTATAACCCTCTCTCAACTCTATAACTCCGAAACACGAACCTTGACGAGCAAGGCCGCTGCGCGGAGAAACGAGTTGAGCGCGGTACTACCAGGGACGTGGTGGGGATCGAACTCGGAACCACTCATTTATGAAGCGAGCGCTCTACCACTACACCACTACCGCATTAATGTGGTAGTGGTGCATTAATGTGGTAACAAAAAAATGTTTCATACATGCTGGCGACTATTTATAGTTAATAGAAAGTTAAAAATTGTATAGGAAATACGTGTTACATTATTATTGGTTATTTCATTTGTCCTTAGTTTCGTGTTATTGGTGTGTCCTTCAGAGGTATAAAAATCAACATTACAATAATAGTTATCGTTGACCAGGGTATAATGAGCTTTCACCGAAAATTTTAGCTTTTTAGCTTCTAAATTGGCACAGATATGATTTTTGCCTCAAAAGTGACATTTCTGGACCACTGTACAATATAAAAAAAATATTTATTATTTGATAACTATATAAATATATATAATATAATAATATAGATATAAAGGAAAAACAAAGGTATTATAAAAGTTATAATGAAAAAAAAACATTTTAAAACCAGAGTTGTTAGTCCTTGGCCTTGTCCTCGGCCTTGATTAAGGCCAAAAATTAAGGCTTTGGCCTTAAAAATTTTGGCCTCGGCCTTGATTGTTTTGGCCTTAGCTTTCAAAAAATATATACATAAAATTAAAAAATTAAGTTTTGATTCTTTAATTCTTTAATCTAATTTCACAAAATGTGGTTTTATTTTCCCAGCACTTGCGATCTACAGTTTTGTTAATAATTGACCTTGACGTAAAGCAAAAATTTAAGTCTTGAAAAGAAAAAATTTGGCCTTGAAAAATTGGCCTTGAAACTCTTATTCTTGGCCTTGACCTTAACATTTTTGGCCTTGTAACTTGTGTCCTAGGCCTAAGACTTGGCCTTCCTACTTTTAACCTTGTTAATGCTTTACATCTCTGCTTTACATTCATCTTCGCCTAACGCATTTGTTAAGAAAGTAATTAAAGTATGGCTTCATTTGGCATATATCAGTATTTCAAACTTTGTAACTACCCAATAAAAAAATACGATGTTAGGTTCATTAAATGACCACACTCAATTTATGGGATAACGTAAATGTGGGCCTTGTGTGACTAATTTCATACTACTCTAAATAAAAACCAAAACATTCAGACATATTGGCAATTAGAAAAATTACTTCTCTTACCAAAGTGAAAATTTCAAATAGTTCGAATGAGAAATTAAAAGCCCTGTTGCTTTCTTTTCAAAAAGGCTTGAAGCTTAACAACTCCTCTATTTAGTAAGAACCGTGTAAAATAATAAAAACTGTAATAAATTGGAGAAACTGCTTTACTGGACGCCATTTTAGACTAGAATCTATATCTTTTAAAAGCAGACTAAATCTAAATCAGAAATGAAAAAACCGCTAGAAAACTGAACTATAATGTTACAATAATGAAATTATTTACAGAGAAGGTAAACTAAATATTCCAGCTGATATTAATCAGCAATAAACTACGACAATTTAAATCATCAATCACTCTGTCATCTAAGAGTAACAAGTATGTACGCTTTTATTAAAATTTTTTATTAAAATTCATTAAATAATGCAATATTAAACAAATAACTAGACAGTCCAAACTATGCTGTGAATGTTACAAACCACTAAATTCCGAATCAAAGCAACGAAACATTTAAACAAAAACTTTTAACTGTTTTTGGGGAAAATTTTTTCAACTAGAATTATTAAACAGTACTTTTCCCGAAGATAACTATTTTTTAACTAGAATTGTTGAAAGTTCTCATTTTCTGTTTGAGATCACCTGTATAGTTTCCATAGTTTAGATTTATTGTCTAACAAAGCATTTGAAACTCTTCTCACCAAATAAAGTTATTTTATAAAAAAAAGAAAAAATTTTACATTGTAAAAATTCAATACCTGATTGAGTTAATTGAAGTAATTTATAAATTATTTATTGAAATAGTTGTAAACATATATATAAACAAAAACCTTTTAAAGGGGCTAACCTTTTTTGTGTATTTCAATTTCATTGCATACTTTATCTGTCGAAGATTTTAAATTTGTTTCCAAAATATTTAAAATATTTTCACTTGTAATACCACGGCAGCTAACTTATAAATATCCCGATATCACGGTACGACACTATGACAGTTGAACTTAGAAAGTCATTGATAGCTAAATTCTAATAAAAGATTTTTTCTAGTATTGATACCACGACAGTTGAACATAGCCATTCATTTATCAACAACACTTGAACATAGCCATTCATTCATCAATAATAGTTGAACATAGCCATTCATTCATCAACTCTCATGCTTTAATGTTCAATGTTTTTGTTTTTACCTTTATAATCCTTTGTACTTACTGAAACAAACAAAAACGTTTTAAAAATGTTTTAAAAACTTAAAAAAACAAATATTAACGTTTTTTAAACGTTTTAAAAACGATCTGTGCTTACTGGATTAGCCAACAAAAAACAACAAAATTTTTTACAATGCTAGAGGCATTATCAAGTGACAAATTCAAACAAATAGCTCACTGAACTATTATTTTTATTCTGAATTATTAATCGCTTACAGAAATAAACAAATATAAAAGTATTCTAACTAATTGAAAACTAATAATTGATTAAAAATTTTTATCACCAATCTGGACTAAAAATCCCTCCTCTCTTTTTATCTATACTCATCGGACTTGTTTAGGTCATGTGAATAAATAATTTTTGAGATTTGAAACTCATGAGTAGATTTTATAAAGAATGAATTTGCAGAAGGATTTTTAAATAGTATGAAAAATGATACATACATATGAAAATGGTTGATTGAATAAAAGAATGGTATGACTGGTAAGAATGGTTGATTGAAATAGTATGATTAGTAAGAAAGATTGAATATCACCTACTGATTAATAAAAAAGATTGGATACCACCAACTGATTGGTTAGAAAGATTGGATATCACCAACTGATTGATAAGAAAGATTGGATATCTCCAACTGATTAGAAAGAAAGATTGGACATCATCAACTGATTGGTAAGAAAGATTGGATATCATTAACTGAAATAAAATTATTGTTAAAAGTGTTGATTGGTTAGAAAGATTGGATATCATCAACTGATTGATAAAAAAGATTGGATATCTCCAACTGATTAGTAAGAAAGATTGGACATCATCAACTAATTGGTAAGAAAGATTGGATATCATTAACTGAAATAAAATTATTGTTAAAAGTGTTGCTGATATCTTTAGTCAAATTTTTATTGTCAAGAATTATAATATTTAGAATGGTGTAAGTTATTGATTTTAGATTAATTATATTATCAATATACGTTATTTCGTACATATAAAAATAAAAAGTGTTATTTTTTATATGTTGCGCACAGATAGATACAAAATAAAAAGCAAATTTAAAAAAAATTTAAACAAGAAAATTTTTGTTGCGCTAAAAATGTTTTTTTTTGTTGTTGTTGTTAATTTTTTTCCTTTTAGGGCACAACTTTTTAATTTGAAACTTGAAACTTTTTGTAGGGCCTAAAAAATTGTTTATTTGTTATTCTTTTGCTTTTAGGGGATGAGTATGGCTTATTTTTTATTGATAGAAACACTGGTGTAATCACAGTTGAAGGTCATCTTGATCGTGAGTATTATTCTGAGTTCAAACTACGCGTGAAAGCTTATGAAGTTGAAGAAATTCACTCGTTTAATACAATTGACTTAAAAATAAAACTTGTTGACTTAAATGATAACTTCCCGAAGTTTGAACAAAATGAGTACATTGTAAATGTACAGAAGGATCAGGCTCACCCCCAAACTATTATCAGCGATAATATAAGGGCTGTCGATGAAGACGCAACAGTAAGATATTAAATTATTTTGAGACGTTTTTTATAAAAATTATGATAACAATATTGTTTATTGATTTATATAAAATGTTTTCAGATTAAAAACAATCATCTGTTTTATTGGATCGAAGAACAGGATGATAATGACAAGCTTTTTGATGTTTTATCAGACAGAGGAACATTGATGTTAAAAAAAAACTTGGAAAATCTGAGTCGGGATATTTTTAAATTTAAGGTTTAGTTTTTGACATTTGACGTATTTATATGTGTGTATGCGTGTGTGTGTCTATATATATATAAATATAAATATATATAAATATATATATATATATATATATATATATATATATATATATATATATATATATATATATATATATATATATATATATATAAATATATATATATATATATATAAATATATATATATATATATATATATATATATATATATATATATATATATATATATATATATATATATATATATATATATATATATATATATATATATATATATATATATATATATATATATATATATATATATATATATATATATGGGTGGGACATAAATTTTTTTTTCTTGTTACAGGCTTTAAACATTGCTAATAGTTATTAATATTGATACTATTAAATATGAGAATGATTGTGATAGATTTAAAGGGCGCAACTTTATTGGGAAAATTACCGGTACCCTAATATTTTGAAGAAAAAAAGTTTTTCAAAAGTAGATCAACCTGGTACTCAAAAGAAGCGAAATTTTATAAAAAATTCGAAAATAATAATTGTTTTATAAAAATCATATTGCCGAAAAAAAATGTTATTAAAAAACATGTCAAAATGCACCTTTTTCACTTTTAGTTAAAAAACTATAGTTTCTATGCAATAAAATCTAAAATAATAATTTTTATATGAAAAAATTATTATTTTTGAAATTTTTATAAAATTTCGCTTTATTTGAGTACCTTTATCACATAATTTTGAAAAACTTTTTTTTGAATAATAATAGAGCCTGCTAATTTTTGTAATTATAGTTGCGGGTGGAAGACATTGTTCAATCCATAAAAGTAAATACTTTACTAAATTAGTACATAAAGCAACTTTCTAGACCATAGCCAGGTTAGCAACTCTAAAAAAAATTTTATGACGCACCCTATTATATATATATATATATATATATATATATATATATATATATATATATATATATATATATATATATATATATATATATATATATATTAGGGATGCACCGAACGTTCAGCCGAACCTAGGCAAAAGTTCGGCCGAATATGCAAAAAATGCAAAATTTGGAGAATGTCATATTTTTTTTAGATTAGACTTCAAATTTAACTCATTTATACCGTTTCTGGTAGCTACGGAAAAAGAAGTTAAATTTTAATATAAAATTTAATTATTTATTTTATTATATTGTTATTAATGTATTTAATTCAAACATCATGTACATATAAATAAACACAAGATCATTAGATAAAATTAAATAGGATAAATAAAAAAGTACATATCAGCCACCTACAACAAACCATCATTTGGATAGTCTTAATGTTCTGTTAACCGAACCAACAGTGAAATTTCTTTAAAAAACTAGATGCTTCGTGTATTAATTCCTCCTCTGTCATTATTTGGTAGTTCCATAGAAAGCTAAAGGTTTCTGAAGAGATCTGTTTTACGGCACTAAAAAGAATTGTAAGGGGGGAAGGAGAGAGTTTCCCAAAAGCGTACAAACGCGTACAAGGATGGGGGGAGGAGGTGTTAAAGACAGTGAGTACGTACGTGGTTTGACTACCACTCTTAAACTTGATTTTTTTTTTTTTTTTTTAAACATATTTTACGTGTGTAACAAATCAGAATTTTTCTTTTTTCCTGACTTCAGTAAAAAATTATTTTTAATTTCTTTATAAATTATGAAAAAAAAATCGAGTTAGTTTTGAAAAAAAAAAAAATGCGTACGTGCGCGGAGGGGCAGGGGGTCTTTAAAAGCGTACAGGTTCGTACAAGGGGGAAGGGGTCCTAAACCAGTGGTACGTACTTTATGGATGCCCCCTAAGTCCTAAAAACAAATTCAATATTACATAAGAAATCTGCTTTCGCAATTGGGATTTCAAGGGAGATTCGCCCACCTCACTCATTTTACTCACATTTTTATGGTGAAATTGTTTTCTGTTATCGTTCTTAAACAATTTTATTTCTATATCAAGGCTAGATGTTACATGCCTAATTTATTTAACATTGCATTCCAACTTTCACGAATAGCTACTAATTATGAAAGTAAGCTTTCTATATTTGAAACCTCTATCTCTAAAGTCGTGTTACTGGCTTGAATGACTTTGTTGCAAATGTCAATTGGAATTAGTATTCTCTGCCACACGAATCTCATCTTAGTTCTTGGAGTAAGATTTAGCTGGAGCAAGTCTAAAAAAGCCAGCTTTACTCCTGGAAGATGAGCTCGAAATGGTTTTAAACTCTCTATTCGATCTGACCACCTAGGCCAGATATGCCGTAAAGGGAACAATCAATACGCTTATATAATATTTCCCATCTCTTCGGACTATACCTGAGTAAAGTGTATATCATTTGCATAGTTTTGCAGTAGGTTATGGCTTCTGGAAAACATTAAACAGTATCATTACCGCATAAGTTAAATGTGTGGCAGGCACAAGGAAAAAACATAGCAGTATGACACAGTTCTTTTATTATAGCTTGCGCTCCATCATATTAACCTGACATATTTGGCACATTGTTATAACTTTGAGCCCTACAACAAGCCAGTTGAATAATATTACTTTGTAACGTTTTTGTAATCATTTGAGCAATTTCAGAACCATTTTTGTTACTACATTTTATAAATTATAAACTTCAAAAATCGTTCCACAATTTTATATTGCGGTTCATGGCAAATTAGGTAACATAAAATAAATGTTGTTTGCTCAACATATGATGAATCTGTTGTATATTCTACAATTATCGCGTAGTACTTTGCAGAATGTCTTTTGTCCAAAACATGCTGCTTAACAAGATCAGAACATTCTGTTATAAACTCATTTTGGTAACCATTTGAGCGGTTATGTACTTGGAGTCTTTCGCCCTTTTTTTGTGACTCAGCTACTTTAAGAACTTATTAAGCAACCTTATCAGACCTAAAAAGTCTCCATTATTTGAGTCACCAATGCGTTGCAAACTTCCCTGAAAAGCAAGGCTGCGATTTCCTAAGAAAAGGATAACATAAATAATTCTTCTCAAAATTTGGTACCATTTTCTGATTCAACTTTAATTGGTGATTAAATAAAATTATCAATACCGCCTTGCATTGAAAGACGTCGCTCTATGTTAGATAGTATTCCCATTACTTTTTTTATGATCTGGAATCTTGTTACATAACTTCCGCCAATCGGAACTCGCTGGCCAGCCTTCAGATGTAGTTAATCCAGATTGGGAAGCAATACTTAGCTTGGAACAGACACAGTTCCAAAATAATAGGCAAAGAAAACAATATAAAGAAGCCGCAGAATTTATTTATTATTGAGAAAGAAATTCTGCTGTGATGAGTCAAATGTTAAGTTTTGTACTATATTGATGAAATGATTCACTACTTAATTTTCTGTCGCACCAGGTATAGGTTCTAAACCAATATCTATGTCAATCATATTTGTAAAAAACTCTAATTTTTTTTTTCCACTAATTGCTATTTCATTTTTGCGATGGTTATTTTGCTCATAATGCATTTTCCTTATATGAATGCCATTTTCCTTATTCTCTTTTTCCAAATTTATATCGGGATTTGTTTCTAATTCATATTTAGTTTTTGTTTCTAATTAAATTTGTTGTTTTTTACCTAATTGAAAGAGTATTCCTTTTCTTTCATTGTATATACATTTCTTTTTTTTTTTTTTTTTTTTTGTTTGTGCTCCTGATTTATGAATTTGGATTTTTCTTGCAGAATCTTAAAAATATCTAGTTGATAAATCTAAAAAAAATATAAAAAATTATTTTTCTATAATAAATTTAAACAAAATTTTCTTTTGTTTAATTTGAATCAACCACCGCAGGATTAAAAACATGGAAATCATGTTTTTAATCCTAATCCAAAATAAGAAATTGTTTAAAAAAAAAAATTCAAAAAAATTCAAAAAAATTGAAATAATTTAATATTGCGTAATAAGTCGATAAATCATCGTTAAGAACATTTTTTAAAATCTAAGATGTTAAAAAAATGTAGAAACTAGAGAAAAAAAAGGGAAAAACTTATACTTATTTTATTCATTTTACATTCCTATATTTTATAAAATTCTTTTTTAAATTTAAAACAGTTTAACATTACTTTAAAAGGATCCCCAACTGCCGAGACAAGTTGGGTTCATATTAAAGAAAATGTTTAAAAAAACATTTGGGCTGAATTTATTTGATTAAAACTAAATAATGAATGCACATCATTAATTTTAAATTCACGTTTTAATCGAAACTCGCCGTCTCCATTTTTATTTTGGTTCTCGGAGTCTGTTTACAGGGTTTATGCGAAATATAAAACATTTTATAAGAAAATATAAAACATTTTTTAAGAAAATATAAAACATTTTTTAAGAAAATATAAAACATTTTTAAAGAAAATATAAAACATTTTTAAAGAAAATATAAAACATTTTTTAAGAAAATATAAAACATTTTTTATGAAAATATAAAACATTTTTTAAGAAAATATAAAACATTTTTTAAGAAAATATAAAACAAATTTTATGCTAATATAAAACATTTAATTAGTTAATTAAATGTTTGATATTTTAACATAAAATATTCAATTACGTAATTACTCTATACTATGGAATTTATGTGGTTTATTCACAACAAAGAAGAGATCTGTAAAAATATATTATTCAAGCTTTATTTTGTTGTTTTAATCGATAAATAGAAAACAAGAGACAAAGAAAAAAAAGAGCACTTATTACAAAGGATATTGTAAAAACAATAAGAAAGTCAATTCTTAAAGAAATGAAGTTAAAAGAAATTGCGGAAGAAGTTGAAATATCAGTTTCTGCAACATGTTCTATTTCTGATAAAATCTGTAAAGGACTTAGTGATGATGAAATCGCATCAGTAAAAAAGGAAGACGCAGCTCTTATGACGAGACACTTAAATCTGAAATTAGAATGTTAATTGAACATGATCCATCTCATACGTTAGCATCATTGAGAAACATTCTCGTTGAAAGGAATATTA